TGACAGGTTTAAGTACTTTTGTCCTTAGGGGAAGAGGTAGCTGGGGCAGACAGGGGAAAAGGCAGGACAAAAAGCTTGGGCAATAGCACACTGCTGGAGCTCTTCTTCAGCTCTTGAGAAGAACATTTGCAAGTACTTTAAGAAAATATATCCTGAGCTTCCCAAAAACCTTGTCTCTGTAACTCCAAATATTATGGACTGACTGCTGATCACTAAACCTTTGTATCCTAGACAATTCTTCATTAAGAAAGTGACGTGATAAACAGATCACTGACAAACTAATCTGCAGCCCTATGGGGGTGTGAACAAACGGATGATGCCACAGTAGATAGAGCTCTTCCTCAGATGCTGTGCTATCAAAGAGCTCAAAGGGCTTTATTGGTCTTGAAGGAAAGAAAAAACATAAAAAAATCCAAGTGAGATAGTTAATATACTTAGTTCTTTTGCCTTTATAACTCTTTTAAATATTAAATATTTTAAAGGAAGATGAATGAGGAATGGTTTCTTCTAAATTATGTTTATACTTAATTCTGTCAGTCACTGACTAGATGCTCACTGCTCTTTTAATACGAAGGGTGAAACTGTGAGCCCACTGACTCAAACTGCATTTTTGGCTTTGACATCTTGTATGGAGGAGCTGAGCATGCATTACCTGTCAGCTGGGATACCATCTCTCATGAAAGAGAGAGCTCCTCTAGCCTCTGCCCTCCCTTATGCTGCCAATTATTCTGTATAGCCTCCCTTTCTGCCTGCCAAGTAGTTCAACTTCTTAAAGTTTTTAATCTATAAGTAGTTGCTGCCCTTCACTTCAACTTTCTGTTGCTACAGCTGAAGCAATCTTAGACACAAACACTATGTGGACATTAACACTATCACATGGTTCTGTGTTTCTTATTCTGAAATGTTCTGTGAGCCACTAATATTAAAGTGAGTGTGGATAGCTTATTTAGACACTGTCAAGCACACACTTACCAAACACGCGTTTCTGCATCTCAACTACATGTCGAATTCCATTCAGTTGTGGTATGTTTGAACTTCCTGCTCTTAAGTATGTGTGGCACCTGAAATTCTTCCATCACAATCTTGGTAATTTCCAAATCAACATATATTAAGCCCCAGTACTACCACAGAACTGCAGCTTAACCCACCTGATCTTTCCCTGTGGTATCAATGGCCTCTAAGACTACTGTGTATTAATATAAAACAGAACATTTCAGTTGGAAGGGACCTTCTAGTCCAACTGCCTGACCAAAAGATAAAGCATGTTATTAACAGCAGGAACTGCCTTCCAACTACTGACACTTCACTGATAACTCCCGTAGTTCATTTCTCAATAAACCCTTACGAGGGACACTGACAAGCAATTCATCAGTCCTTTAACCAGAGTAAAAAATTAAGTATCTTACTATACAAATAATTACTAAAGATATTATCTTGCCTTATGTTTACTAAGACGTCCAGTTCTTCTGGAGACATTTCAGTTGGCTTTCAGAAGACCAAGATAAAGTTTTCCTCATCTTGCCAGGAAGTCATTACTTGGAACCAATCAAGTATATTTATTAACATCATATTCTGACTGTTGCTCAATTTCTTTAGCGTTTCAACTATAAAGATGCTTCAAAATCCATCAGTGATTCCAGCTAAGTTGATCTGTTAAAACCAAATTGCTCACAACAACTCCTGTTTCAACTCACTTCTACCCACCCCTCAGAGTCAGTCAAAAGAATCAGGCATCCTCTGGTAGGGAAGTGAACAAAAGGCTTTTCCATTCTATGTTTACTTGAATAAACCTGTTAAGGCCCCAGGCTTATGTGAGTTTCTTGCCAGAAGACCAATAGGGCTTCCCAAGATAATTTAAGTAATCCTTATTTTCAATAAATCAAAGTTTATTTTTGTGATTATTTTTGCTAAAATCCCAGCTAAATTTAGAACTTCCTATTTTTGTATTTTACTTTCTATGCATTTAAAGCTCCTAGAGAATCAGTGGAGCCAGAGCTCCATTGTCTTCACCAAAAAAATGCTTCAGTCTTGGCATATTTATCTGTAATAAGTTTTTATTACTTTGGCATTATCTTGCATTTTTTTAACTGCATTATTACATGCTGAAATTCATATAAAATCCATAGTTTCAAGATATGGTTAGATAATGTATGTTAAATCAAAGATGTCTGTATCTTAATTTCTACTTCTTTATATATATAAAAAAATAAAAAACAACCTGGGGAACTGGCTCTAGGTGGTCCTGCTTGAACACGGGGACTGGACCTCCAGAGGACACTTCCGACCCAACTATTCTGTGACATTTATCACTGTATCATATCTATTAATTTTCTTTTCAATTTTTCTCTAACTGCATAAAAAATTCTCTATTTCATAAATTAACCTTTACAGAGGTTGCCTATTCAATACTCACAGAACATAATCACAACTAAATTTCCACAGTTTGCACAACTTTAGATTTTAAAAAACCCATTTCTTTAGTACTTGTAACTCAAGAGTTGTCCTTAAAAAAACCAACAACCAATCCCAAACCAGTAACTTAATAAAATCCCCAAAAAACAGTGGTACACAGAGAACACTCAAATAAAAGGAATTAAATGGAGAAGACTCCTGATCTGTACTTGGTTTCTGTTAGTTCATATTGATAAGGAAGAATGGGAACAGTGAAAAATGGCAGAACATAAAGGCAGCACTGGTAACAATAAACTGGAAAACACTATTTTCACACACAGCAAAGTCAGAGTAGCTTCCCCCTTCAGTAAATCTTCATAATGTGTAAAATCACTCCAGCACTTAAAAAAATAAAAGTAGTTCCCCTGCATCCCCAATTCAAGTTACCAGAAAACACACAAAATTCATAACATTTACCTGCTGGAGGAAGGCAGAAATATATTGATGGACATAACTGATGATTAAACAAACCTGCTGATTAAGACACAGCTCTAATTTCCACTGAGGATGGAAAGCAGGTGGCAGAAGAGAGATGCCACTGTTACTCATAATTTACTTAGCAGTGAATAATTTTATCTACACAACATCCCAGCCTTGGGAAATGCTGGTGATAATCAGCACCCTTGCCTTTTCATACTCGGGAAGCGTGTCCAGCAGACAAGCTTCTGTGTAGGTGTAACACAGAATTTGACACAGCATGAAGCAGGATGCCAGGAGGCATTCCTTATTTTGTAGACCAACGTAAGAGAAAGAAAAAGAGTAAAACAAGGGAAAAAATACCAAAAGAAATTAAAGAATGGGAAAAAACAGATGATGGAAAAAAACCACAACAGATATTGCTGCTTTTAAGGTTAGCAAATTTTGTGTATTCACATTTGCTCTAATATGTACTTTTTTTTTTTTTTAACACATTCCCCCACTCCCTGGGAAAGTGTAAAAAGTTCCTCATGAACTTAAGTGTGTCATATTACAAGAGTCTTGGGGAAAACAGCCATTCCTATCTGAAATTCACAGTGAATGCCTTTAAAGAAAAATTAAGAAGCTGTATCAATTAACATTTGGGGGTAAAAATTTAAAACTGGGTATTTTTTTTCTTCTAGGTTACTATCTGCCAAAGGAGAAAGTTAAGTTTTGATCTATACTGAATTCTACTATTTCTGTTTTACCTGAATAAAATTATGGGGTAAGGAACAGGCTGGATGGTTGCACTCAAGAAGTAGTGATCAATGGCTCCATGTTCAGATGGAGACCTTTGCCAAGTGTTCCCCAAGCGTCAGTACTGGGACCAGTGCTAATGAACGTCTTTGTGGGTGACATGGACAGTGGCACTGAGTCCACCCTCAGAAGCTTTGCTGGCAGCACCAAACTGTGTGGTGCAGTCAACAAGCTGGAGGGAAGGGATGCCATCCAGAGGGACCTTTACATGCTTGAGAGGTGGGCCTGTGCAAACTGCATGAAGTTCAACCAGGCCAAGTGCAAGGTTCTGCACCTGGGTTGGGGCAATCCCAAGCACAGATACAGGTTGGGTGGAGAATGGATTGAAAACAGCTCTGAAGAGAAGGTCTTGGGGGTGATGCTGGACAAGAAGCTCAAAATGAGCCAGCACTGTGTACATGCAGCCCAGAAAGTCAACTGTGTCCTGGGCTGCCTCAAAAGAAGCGTGGCCAGCAGGACAAGGGAGGATTCATTCTCCCCTTCTACTCTGCTCCTGTGAGACCCCACCTAGAGTGCTGTGTCCAGTTCTGCAGCACCCAACATAAGAAAGACAGAGCTGACTGGAAGGAGTCTAGAGGAGGGCCATGAAGATGAGTAGAGGACTGGAGCACCTCTGCTTTGAAGACAGGCTGAGAGAGTTGGGACTGTTCAGCCTGGAGAAGAGAAGGCTCCAGGGAGACTTTACAGCAGACTTTCAGTATCTGCAGGGGCTACAGGAAAGCAGGGGAGGGGCTGTTTACAAGGGCTTGTGGTGAGAGGACAATGGGTAACAGATTAAAACTGGAAGAGAGGAGATTTAGGTGAGATATTAGGAAGAAATTCTTTAGTGTGAGGGTGGTGAGACACTGCACAGGTTGCCCAGGGAAGTTGTAGCTGCCCCATCCCTGGATGGGGATTTGAGCAACTTGAGCTAGTGGGAGGTGTCCCTGAACTAGATGATCTTTACTGTCCCTTCCAACCCAAACCATTTCGTGATTCTACTGTACCTGCATGTATAAGGAAGACTGTGTGCTAAATACACATCACTTCTCATGAAGGCTACCAGACACTAGTCTCTTTTCAAACTAAACCAGTTGTTTTGCATAAATTCAAACCTAATGATTCAGTGGTACACTGATAAAAGAATAAGTACTCACAGATATATGAAAGGCTTACAGGTTAAATGAATGATTCAAACACAACAGATCAAAATTTTATGCAGCTTCATTTATAACTGCTTTAACAAAATTAACTCAAGGTTCTAGAGTCTGGGTTACTACAAGCTTTGAGATTTCTTGAACGTCTGGTTTCAACACAAAACACAGGAACTGTTTCAATGAAAAACAAATACCTACTGTACTAGCTCTATAAATGCTACTTCCTGTGGGCCAGTGGTGTTTGCTGGCGAAGGCACCCAAACACTCTCAAGCCTGTCTCTGGGAGAAATACCAACTGTGTCCTCATCCTGAGAACATCAGCTGAGGAGTACCCGCACAGTGGAAGATACTGCAGCTGCAGGGATGGTGTTTCCACCTGATTTTGGCCCTGATGTCGCTCCAATGACTGTTCCAGCTGGGGAAACCCCTGCTCCAACCCCACTGGCTTCCTGACCAACGTTTGCATGCATCATTTTTCTGGTCTCCTGCCAGGCCACTTCATTCATGCCTAGGAGAACACATGGAATGCTCATTCCACACAGACACCTAAAAGAAAAGTCTTGAGAACACAAAAGGCCTTCCCACATAGCTTTATATATGCAGTACTTAAGATTTTAAAAAAAAAGAATAAATCCCAGCTATATAAGAATAATATCCATTGTAAAAATGCTTACTGATTTTAAAAATTTAAATACCATTACCAAAAACCAGGCTTCTACCACATTTTTTTACAAAACAATGTATTAACATGGTAGAGTTCCATACATTATAAATGCTTGCCAACATACTTCCCTGCTAAAAACAATCAAAATATAATTTTCAACCATAATGGTGGTTCTTTATTTTACATTATTCCTCTATATGATGTGTAAAACCACTACTTCTGTCATACTGCTATGTCTGATTTTATACATTTGTAGACATTGTAATGAAGTAGCACAGAAAACTAACATCTCTACCTGAACCACATCTCATTCTTACACATCAGCCCCAGCTTTTCTTTCAAATTTTTTAAGCTATGTAGGATTCTAACACAGCAATTGACCTTAAACATCTCTAACACACATGACAGTACATTTTGGGTTTTTCACATTTTGGAATTTCAGGCTCTGATTAAAATGAAGTTTGCCAGCTCATTTTTGAAGCATTTAAGTCTTGGCTTGAACCAAGTATAAATGACAACAGCAAAAATCTCTCTCCATTATTGACAAAATCCTCTGCAAGAAAAAATACCTGCCCCTGAACATACACATGATCTCCACATACAATCTTAATCTATCATAAATTATGTATGATCAACCTTTTAATAAAGAAATGGACTTTTTAAGGCAAGAAGACTATGTATATAAAACCCTCAATAACCTCTACTATCTTAACTGATTGTTTTTTAAGAGAGATAAAAACATTTCTAAAAAATATCTCACTATTCATGCTAAACAAGAGTCTTAAGTCCAAGCAATTAAAATTACATATATGGAAAGATATTAAATCAGAATAGAACACTTGGGTCTGAAGACGTAGACAAAAGGAATCACAGTTCTCTAATCCCTCTGCACAATTCTACATTTCTAATCTAGCCTTACTGACTACTCACTGCCCAGTCTTTAGTGAGATGCACAGAAACATATACAGTAAGAGGAATTTTTTTACAGTATTGGTTTTGTAAACATGTAAAATCTAAATCTACTTTGTCTTGCTAGTACTGTTTCAGTAGGTATTTGTTTATTGTCAAAATACCCTCCTAACATCAGTTCTGCAGCTTCTTCAGACTATGTGACTAACTCTTCTTGGTTAGTATGCCCAGAACTGAAGTCTAAGCAAGACATATTATAATGGAGATAAACAGCAAGACAGTTCATAAGAATGAGTCAAAACAGACTTGTTATTTTTAGCTCAACTACACAAAGTCATCTCCAGCAAGTCTAGCTTTGTGTTTTATCAATACACATACATAAAGACTTCAGGAACTAAACACAACTACCTGGGTTCTAAAAAATTCACTTCCTCTTTGAAGGGATTTGTGAACAAATTCCATATGAAACTTCAGACCAGCCACACAAATAAAAAATTCATACAACTAGTTCAAAACATGGCTCAAAACAACATGGATGAAATAAGAGCAGTGAACACAGGTCTGATACAACCCTGATTTCCATTACTCTTTACATGCCAAGAGCTTCCTCATGCAAAGAAAGACAACCAGACCTGTACCTGTAGCTGAGTTTTGCCAATACTTCAATACACTTGATGAAGCAAGAGGTAACTTATCTTAAAATTGTATGAGAAACTAAAATTGAAAAGAAACAAAATTACAAAATGTACACTAAACTACTTAGTCCAATGTACACAAATATATGTTGTAAAGCCTTGCCTGTGAGAAAGGCTGCAGATTGTGGAATTTAGCACAGCCAGCAGAGAACAAAGGATCATATCACCACCTTAAAGTTCAGTGCAAATAGATGCACACACAGAGCAGGTAGCAAAAAAATAAAACATGGATTATCACAGAGATACTTTTGATGCACTTCAGAGTTCTACATTCCTTTCTCAGCTCCTAAAATGGCTGTCCTAATCTCTTCAAATATATTTCTTCTACATGTCTACAACTATTCTCAGACAGTCATGTTTAGAAAAAAAAATAAATAAATCTGTTAAGCAATAATGAAATGTAATCTTTAAAGATACTGCTAGAGATGACATCTGGTCTTTATTTGTAAGCTAAACATTTCACATACCAGCTTGAAAAGCTCTTGCCTACTGTCCTAAAAGCCACAGCAGGTTTTCTGACTGCTCTTCAAACTAAATGTTGTTATAAAGTTTCAGTATGTAAGTCGTTACTATAAAATAAATTTCATACAACTTATTTGAAACTATAGCCAAGAAGGTATAGCTGACTATGTTTACATTTTCTGACATTATTTAAAACTCTTTTCCACTATACGAGCACACAGTGGCCTCCAAATTCATTATCAGAAGCACTGCATCACTGGTATCTGTTGTTACAGGAGAAAATGAGCTTTTAAATGAAAGACTTCTTGTCCCATTTCTGAGACAAGAGCCTGGACACCAGCTTTGTGAAAACACTGGAACAGTTGCATTGTGTGGAATAATCCAGACAACAGCTGTACTATGGATGGGGAAAATAAGGTATTTTCAACTACATTTACTGAAAGGAAGAGAAAGAAGATTGGTAACTCTCTTGCATACCTATACATCTGGTACACACAATGAGGGGTACTTCCAAAGCCTGTCTACAATGAGTTTTATGTCATTTCCTTTGTAGAGTTTCTATCAGAAACCTTTTCAAGAAAGTACAAAGTAGTAATGCTTATTTCACAGGAGATTCCCAACACAGAACCGATTTATAATTCACGAGAATTTAAGCTTCCTTTTACTGCAGCAGAGAGTGATTTTATAGAATCCCAGAGTCAAGAAGCACGAGGACATACAATTCTTGCAGGAATTAAAATCATCTACTAAATTACTTGCCTCTGTGTACAAAAATTTGGTCTAATAACTTTGGGGTTTTAGAAACCACTGTACAAAGAAAAAACAAAGATGATGTTATCAAGGAAAATACTTCTAGAAAACTACATATGCTGATTATTCAGTGCACACTCATTAAAACAAGGGGGGAAATCCAAAAGTAAACTACAAGTGCTTTTAAAATCAGATGTAGATGACAGTATTCAACAAGCTGATGTCCTTGCACCAAACATCTGCAACATCTGGCCCAATGAGAATACTGCAAAGAAAGATCTGAAAGAGCAACTCTTAAAGAAAACATGGACATAAAATGACCAGTGTGCACTACAATCCTACATAATATACATATATACTGTCATATAGGATGTATCTCCTCATGAGAAGACAGGCAAGTCCAACTTTTACAGCCAACTGCTTCTTGCACAATTAGCTCAATCACACCAGATACGACTGTAAGTCCCTCAGCACTGTGCCAATATCCCTAACACAGAAGAAAAATATTAAGTACTATAGACTGATACTATAGAAAAACGTACCATTCCCTAATAATGCATAAAAAACGTTGCTCAAAAAACATGGACCTTCCTGTATGCAATATCCACATAATGAACTGCAGAATCTGCATTATCAAGCAGTTTCTCACAAGCATTTGCCCACTAAACATTCTTCTGGGACAAATTCCAAATTTCCAACTCTCTGAACTCTTCAGAAAATTGTCAGGTGATTTAGTGTCATTTCTACACGTACAACCCAAACTACACCACCACCAAATTACCATTTCCCGTTTTATTCGAGTTTTCTTCTCCCACCCACCTAACATATTTATATTCTCACTGACACAAATCGAGTTCCAGACCAGAAGAAAGGCAGACAATAATTCTCTCAGCTTTTCAACAAAACTGCGACTGTTAACATCTGGTTTTAAAGCTACACGTGACTAAATATAACAAAATACCATGCTTTATATGCGAAAATAGTAACAAGGGGGTAGTAATTATATCTCAGATGCATCCATATCCCACATTCCTGGAGTGCTATACCATCAACTCACGGTAACTAAAAAGGCCTGATCTCTGCTGAGATGCTAGGAAGGCTTCAGTAAGACAGAAACGATAATAAATCCGAAAGCAGCCTGTTAAGATGTAGCACGTAAGTGACAAACAATGAGGCGACGGAAGAAATTTTGCCGGTTCCCATTTGCAATGACCTACATAGCTCACAGACGGCTACGTTACTCAGAAAAAGGCATCCCAAAAAATCAGCCGATGTAACCAACCCTCTTTTATCACATCACGCAAAACACGCCACACATCTTGGGTGTTAAGCCGCGTTGCTCCAAACAGTAAGAACATAAAAAAGCGTCCCGAGGATGTTGATTTTCCCTCAAGGAATTATGGTTATGAAATACACCCAAGAGAACAATGCCCCCCCCCCCAAAAAAAAAAAAAAAGAATAACTGCCAAAAAGAGATTAAACCCCAAACTGCTGGTGGCAAGCACGATCCACTCGGGGCAGCTGGCATTTTTCTCAACTTTTCTGTTGTTGTTGTTTGTTGTTATTGTCTCCTGCGCGGGCGCGTTCGAAGAAAACCCTGAAACCCCCCCCCCC